CTATACCTCAAGATCCTGACGTTCCCTTTAGTCCTCGGTGGGGGGTGCTCGATACTACTAGGTTTTGTGGGGGTCAGGCGTACTTTGAGTCGTTGGAGAGGCATAGGCAAATGCTAGAGGAGCTCGAGCCCCTCGTTTATGACTTGGATGATATCCTCGGGGATGATATCCTCGAGCTTGCGAACATGAAAGGCATCAAGGGTAGGATACGTGATTTTGACGCTTAATTTCCCGACCTATATATTTTACTCATGCTCGTGCTTATAACATGTTATTTTTTTGCAGAAATGACGTTTGACCCAAGTGCCCTTCTCAGGCGGTTAACAAGAAGTCTAAGGCTCCCCAGGCTCGAGCTCCAGGCCAGAGGAGGGGCCAAAAGAGACCTCGGGATGCGAGGCCTGAAAGGCAGACCAGTTGGCCCAGTGAATCGTCAAGGCCCCGAGGACAGTCCCCGGGAATAGAGAGGACGGGATCTCAGCAACAGGATCTTCTGGGTACTCCTCAGGAGCCTCGTCCTCGGGGACCTATTAACGTGGTCGACCTTGAGGATGAGTGCCTGCCACCGGGCCCTGCTAATCCCGAGGGATGCTCTTGATGTTAGTCAGTGCTCAGTATCGTCGACAAATACCGGGCAGACGTCGACTTAAGCAATGGCTTGAGGGCTCTCGAGGCTATGGCCTTGAAGGTAAGATCGTCGGCAATTTTTATTTTTATTATTTTTTGTTATCTTTACGTCCCGAGATTAAGTTACCCCCACTTTTTTTCAGACATTGGGAATAGCTCGAGGTCTTTCCTTGAAGGGGAAAGACAAGTCTTCAAAAATGGCCGACCTTGAGGGTGTCGTTTCTGCTCGGGATCTGAGGATCGCCGACCTAGAGGAGGAACGTGCTTAGCTGATGAGGGAGCGCGAGCAAATGCGAAATGATCTTTGCAATGCTCAGGATGAGGCCGGTACTACGAAGGCTGAGGCTGAGCACTTCAAACTCGAGCTCGAGCGCAATCAAAAAGATTTGGATGCAAAGCTGGCCAATGCTCGGGAGGATGCGGTCGAGGGCTTTAAGAAGTCTGATGCCTTCAACGAGTTGAAGGGCGAGTATGCTATGGGTTCTTACTTTCATGCCCTGAAGGAAGCTCGAGCTTTCATTCGCCTGAGGCCAGATGCTCGCCCTGAGGATCTGAAGTCAATCCCCGAGGTGGCTGACGACCTTCATCTTTCTGAGTCTGAAGAAAACGCTAGGGATGAAGACGTCGACATTGAGGGTGATGATGCCGAGGAAGGCCAAGGTAGTCAGAACACCGACGCCTAAGTTTGATCAGTCCTTGAGCATTCATTTTGATTTGTAATTGTAATTTTTTTGATGTAAAATGCCCGATCTTAATGGAAATAGTTTATCCTTTTCACCGAGCTCATTCTGTATTATCGTCATATTTCTATTTCATCAACATATGCGTCGAACTTTCGTTAACTAATATCTCGACGACTGAGAAGGACTAATTATCTCGATGACAAAGACAATTAATTATCTCGACGACTAAGAAGATTAATTATCACGACGACAGTATTGAATTAATATCCCGACGACTAAATAATCTTGACGTTTAAGAAGAAACAATTTGATTTTAATCAAGTCATAATGCCGAGGATAATAGCGAATAGTTTAATACCTTGACGGTAAAACTATCCCGACGTTGGTATTGAATTACCTCGAGGACTAATCGCGATGGGTGGTAACCTTGAGGTGTTCGAAGAATTGTGACCGGCCTCTGTACATAAGTTTATCCCGAGCTTTCACTTTGGAGCCTTGGACAAAAATACAAGGATATATGGTCGGGGATGTATGTCCTCGGGATTTTTACTTGTGCTGCACTATTTTGATGTGCTGATTATGAGCTCCAAGATTTTGGTACTTGCTCGAGGCAAGGCTTACATGCTTGCTCGGGGCAAGGCTTTAGACGGCTTGCTCGAGGGCAAGGCTTACATTGGCTTGTCGAGGACAAGGCTTAGGGTGGCTTGCTCGAGGGCAAGGCTTACATTGGCTTGTCGAGGACAAGGCTTAGGGTGGCTTGCTCGAGGACAAGGCTTATATTGGCTTGTCGAGGACAAGGCTTAGGGTGGCTTGCTCGAGGGCAAGGCTTATCTTGGCTTGTCGAGGACAAGGCTTAAGGCAGCTTGCTCGAGGGCAAGGCTTACATTGGCTTGTTGAGGACAAGGCTTTGGTAATTCCTGGACGCAAAGCAAACTATCGGGCTGTTATACCCAAGGTTTGGATTTATTAATTGCTCGGACTGGACTCGAATTTATATTGTATCCAAGCTGCCTACGTACCCAAACGGGATCAAGCTGAACATAGTTCATTACAAAAGAAAACGGAAAACATGCATGGGCACGCAGGCCCGAAGAACTAAAAATAACATTCAGAAGAAAAAATACAGAAAAAGAAAATCTCCTAAATGGCGTCGAGAATGTTACTTGTAATATATTTTTAGATTGTCAGCATTCCAGGGCCTTAGAAGAGGTCTACCCGAAGTGTCTCTTAGGCTGTATGCTCCTTTGCGAACCTGTCGTATAACCTCAAAGGGTCCTTCCCAGATGGGCCCGAGCTTCCCTGGGGGGTGACCTGCTGCTTCGGCCCTCCTCAAGACCAAATCGCCAGCTCTGAACCTCCGAGCCTTGACTTTGCTATTAAAATGTTTTGCTGTCTTAATTTGGTAAGAGGCCACCTTTATAGCGACTTGCTCCCGTACTTCTTCCAAGAGATCAAGGTGTTCAGTTGTATGCTCCGAGGTTTCTAGCACGAGCCTCCTATGGCTTGGCAGTCTAATTTCCACTGGGACCATTGCTTCAATGCCATAGGCTAACATAAAAGTGGTTTCTCCTGTGGTTGTCCTATGAGTTGTTCTATACGTACATAGTATAGAAGGCAGCTCGTCGGACCAAGAACCCCTAGCATTGCTTATTCTTGTTCGGAGGTCTTGTAATATGATTCGATTTGTTACCTCGGCCAGACCATCGCTCTGAGGATGCGAAACTGATGTCAGACAGTGATCAATCCCAAGGTTTGAGCAAAAGTCCCTAAACTATTGATTGTTAAATTGCCTGCCATTGTCGGTGATGGGGACCTTTGGTATCCCAAACCTGCAAATGATAGACCTCCAAGTGAAGGCTCTTAGCTTGGGCTCCGATATTGTGGCGAGAGGTTCGGCCTCTGCCCATTTTGTGAAGTACTCTACTGCTACAGCAATAAACTTTAATTGACCCCTTGCCACAGGAAAGGGGCCGAGGATATCAACTCCACATTGTTCAAACGGGGCCGAACAGTTAATGTTGGTGAGGTCTTCGACTGGTGAGTGGATAACATTACCAAACCTCTGGCACCTATCACATCTTTTAACATATTCTGAGGCGTCTTTTTTCATAGTTGGCCAATAGTATCCATATCATACGAGTTTAAAGGCCAAGGCCCTGGCTCCTTGATGATTCCCGCACACACCTTCATGAACTTCAGCAAGGGCTTGGGATGACTCTGATGGTCTAAGGCACCTTAGGTATGGAAGAGTAATACTTCTGCGAAAGAGGACGCCGCTGATCATGCAGTACCTAGGAGCTCAAGCTCTAATGCTTCTAGCTAACCTAGCATCGCTTGGTAGATTTCCACTTGTGATGAATTCTATGATTGGGTCCATCCAGGATGGTTCGTTGTCAATGTCCATGATGTCGAGGACTTGATTGATGCTGGGTTCTGTGATGATTTTAATGTGAACTGTTCTGTCAAGGCTGTCTACCCCCATGAACACAAGCCTTGATAACGCGTCGGCTTTTTCGTTGTCTTTTCGAGCATTTTTTGCAATTTCACAACTCTTGAATTTTCGTTGAAGATCCTGAACCTTCATACAGTACAAACTCATTTTCTCATCTTTTCTTTCAAATGATCCTTCAATCTGTCCGACCACCAGTTGTGAATCGCTGAATATCTTTACGAACTCGAGCTCAAGGCAAAGGGCTAGCTCCAGAGCAATAACGACGGCCTCATACTCGGCCTCATTATTGGTTGCTTCAAACTCGAACCTAAGAGCGCATTGGATCTCTGTTTGTTTGTCAGGGCTGATGATGATGACCCCTGCACCCGAGCCCGAGGAGTTCGATGCTCCATAGCATTGTCTGGCAGCTGTCTGGTCTCCACGCACGACCCCAACGCCATTACTTGTTGGAAACTTCATGGCTAGGTGGAAGGTAGACACAATGGCTTTGATCTTGTTTAGGAGTGGTCTTCCCAGAATGGCGTTATAGGCCATTGAGACACATACCACTTGAAAATATGTCATCTCCGTAACCTGTTTCTGGCCAGAACCCAAAGTTAGAGGAAGCTCGACGACACCCTCTGGAGTGATGACTCCTCCCCCAAACCCCTGGAGAGGAGTTTTAACCGCTTTGAGCTGCTGAGATGAGATTTCCATTTTGGCAAAAGCTTCTTGTGAAAGTATATTGGCCGCACTCCTGTTGTCGACCAAGATTCTCTTTACTTCAAAATTGGCCACAATCGCTGAGATTACCAAGGCGTCATCATGTGGAAGTGATACACCTTCTAAGTCCCCGGTCCCAAAAGTAATATCCTCTAGCTTTCCATGAGGCATCCCAGAGGCCAAGGCATATTGCTTTCTTCCACTGTTGGAGTCTCCTCCCGAGGCAATACCCCCAATGATGATATTGATGGTTCCAGCAGTAGGTTGACTATCCCTTTTTGCCTCAAGGGCTTTTTCCCTACCACGCTCATTCCTCGGGCGTTTGTCGTTACCGACGTAGGAACTCAGGAGTCCTCTTTTAATAAGGGCTTCAATCTCCCGTTGCAGGGCCTTACAGTTCTCCGTGGTATGCCCATGATCCCGATGGAACTCACAGTACTTGTTCATGTCCCTGGATTCGGGTGGTGACCTCATTCTGAGAGGCCATTTGAGTTCCTTCATATCCTTGATCTCCATCAATATATTTGTCTTTAACGTATTTAAACGCGTGAATGACGTCGGGGGAACCTCCTGTCTTTGTTTTTTCCGATGTTGTTCTTCACGGGGGTTCGGGTCGTGCTGTCGTTTATGCTCGACCTTGTCATGGGGTGGTCCAACCTTTCTCGGTTCAGTGTTTCCTCCATATTTATGTACTTCTCGGCTCGGGTAAGAAGCTCGGTCACTGTCTTTGGCGAAGTTTTGGATAGAGACATCTTGAAAGCCTCACACTTTATGGCATATGTGAGGGCAGAAACTACTGCAGTTATATGTACGTCGGGAATCTGAAGTCTTTCCTTGTTGAACCTGGTCATGAAGTCACGTAGGGTCTCATTTTGCCCTTGTCTAAGTTGCATGAGGAAAGCCGCCGTCTTCCTGATGCGTTTACTGCTTGCGAAGAAAGCAGAGAACTTATCTGCCAAATCCAAGAATAAGGCTATGGAGTTGGGCTCTAAGGTTGAAAACCAATCCCTAGCAGCATTCGTCAAAGTTTGCGGGAAGGCCTTGCACATCACCTGATCTGGTGCGACCTGTAGATTCATGACGTCTGTGTATATGTTAAGATGATTGATTGGATCCGTGGTCCCATCATATTCTTTGATCCTAGGATACTTAAATCTGTCTGGCAAGGGAAATGTCAATATCTCGGGAGTAAAGGGAGTGTTGGGACTGAATCTTGTCGTCCCTTTGTTGCCCTAAAGTAGGCCCGCCGTAATTCCTTCTTGAATAATCCTAGCGAGTTTCCCAGACTCCATGGTCACTGATCTCGAGGCCGAGGTCACATGTGGTATACCCGAAGCCCCTGCTCCGCCATTGTCAGGGACGTGTCTTTGAGCTCGAGCTCGAGCATCAACCATAAAACCCCCTTGGGGTGCTGGTGTGGGTGACGGATGCGAATTTCTTTGACTTTGCAGCTGAGTTAGTGTGGCGATCTATTGTCTGAGTTCCTCAAAAGCTCCAGCAGTGACGACTGCCGGCTGGGGCTCTGGCACTTCTGATGATTCCTCTTGAGGAACAGGGATATCCTCAGAAGGGGGTTGGTTTGGAGCAGATGAGCTTGCTTGTGGAAGACCTGAACGTGTGTTTACCATGGCTTTTGGTAGCGTTTCCCATAGACGGCGCCAATGATGCTACCAAAAATCGTATATGTAGATTTCTCGAGTTTGATGACTGATGAGGAGCACGAACGTGATCTTCCGGTACCTGAAACAAAGGCAACGAGGTGTGTTCTCGTCGTCCCTCCGATGCTTAAGTCAGAAAGGGAATTTTGTGCGTGAGGCTATGTGCTGGAGAACAATGAAAAACGTACCTGAATAATGATTAAGGGTTTCGTATTTATAGAGGTAGGTGGTGTGTTCATACTAGGATTCTGTAGTGCACCTGTAGTAGAACAGCTTGATTTTGCATTCTTATACCAATGAATCCTACGCGAGATAGGAGTTTGAATTGCGGTATAACTGTGATACTAATTATTTAATAGAGTTCTTCTGGGCATAGGAGACATGAGTTGAGGATTTTTAGTCAGAATAAATTTCTCATTGGATAAGGCGTTGACGTAGGTCATAATCCCGAGGACATGTCGAATGATTGTCGAATAACTCTTGGGGCTAATAGCTCGGGCATGTGGAAGATACCCGAGCACATATATTCTGAGCATATTGGTAAACATATCGACGAAATAGAGTCATCGGGTTTATATACGTCGGGAACAAATATTTGGTTATATCAGGTTCCATAAAATTGTATGATTAAAAATAGTTTTGAAAAGAAAATTATTTTAAGAATGAGGCCAAACATCTTTTTCTACGTGTTCTTATCCTCTCCCGGCCAACATTTATGTAGAAAGCATGTTTGACAACAATTATTTCAAAATTCTCTATTCTACATGCATATTTTTAATTATACATTTACATAATAAAATATTTTGCACGTAAATTCAAAAAAAAAATTCTACTTTTTAACCACTCATTCTAAAAAAATTCACTATTTAAAACTCTATTTTAGCTGAATAATAACCATCAAACAGGAGCTAAATATAAAATTATCTGGTTTTAACAAGAGTGGCAAGATTAGTGCTAGATTATGTTCTCTAACTGATGTTTAGACTAAAAAATTATTTTAAATTCAAAAATATTGTACCGACCTCACTCTAATCAGAATAAAGATATCTATACATTGTCCTGCAGTCTGCACTGGCCTTGCCAAGTAAAAGTTTAGGGATCCTGCTACTCATACATCGGATTATGATTTTTTTATTCATAGTGGCCCCCTGTTATGAGGGGTCGGTACACCACAAATATCAAAATCCAAAAGTTTAGATCCGAACATCACCCATTGACTACAGGGCCGTATAGTTTTGCTACACTAATACCTAGCTTCTATTGACTTCCCCATATTAATTTATTAGTAATAACCCTTCTTTACTAAGTCCAGATAGCAACATTCCTAATTACTAGATATTTGAAAAATGGCTCCTCGAGGCATAATCCAGCAGTGTAAATGATAAGAATGAAGTTATCTTACGCCTTGTTGACAGCCGCAGTGTGGGGGTTCGATTCCTGAGACATAGAATTGGACTCCTTGTAAGCGTAGTGTACAAACAGCTCTTGTTTTCTAACATGTTGGGGCACATCCCGCATTTACCTCCCTCACAAAACTCTAGGAGCGGGGCGATGGAGGCTCTCAAGGTTGGGGTTCAACCCTTTTTTTTTTTTTTTTTTTTTATTATTATAAAAAGATATTTGAAAAATGTCCGAAACTGTTGACATTATTGTATATACCTTGTTCCAATAAATCATTAGATTCGTATCTGGAAATCAGAAGTCAACAAATCCATGGATTCTCGTAAAGTTGTCTGTTTTATCATCTTCTCTTCTTCCCTCAATTCTTGATCACAGTTTCAAGCAGCACAGAATTCTGCTTCACATCAGCCTGTAGCCGGGGCGAGGCCATTGTTCAATTCCCTTTTCGACTCGAAAATCGTCATCCGAAACGATGTGGATATCCGGGTTTTGACCTGTTTTGTAATAGCCAAAACCAGACAATAGTTGAGCTTCCCAATTCAGGGAAGTTCACTATCCAGGCTATTGAATATGAAACTCAAAATCTATGGATTAATGATCCTGAATATTGCCTCCCAAAATGCCTTTTGAAATTAAATCTCTCCGGTTCGCCTTTTACTGGAGTTTTTTATCAAGATTTTACGTTGTTCAACTGCACGTTTGATTATCGAGGGTTGGATCCTATAGCTTGTCTTAGTGGGGAGAATTACACAGTTTTTGCTACTTCTCATAAGAGGGCTATTAGTTTCTTGGCTTCTGAGTGTAATTTGATAGCAACAATTGCTGTCCCGGTTCAATGGACATTTCTTGAGCCGGTTTTATCATCTGATCTCAGTGGCGATCTCCGACTCCAGTGGGCGGCGCCACTCTGCAGAAGGTGCGAGTCACGCGGCCGGCGATGTGGGTTCAAGAGCAATTCCAGTACCGAAATTGAATGCAGCAATGTTAATCGCCATGGTAAGTGACTAGTTATCGAACTCCTTTTCTTGCTTTCAAGATTTCTTAATCCACTAGCCAAAATAGTGTCAAAATGCCTGGAGATATTACCACCCAACGCGCATTATCTGGTGGCGCTATCGCCAGTACTTTCCCCCTTTTCTCTGATTTCTTGGTATACATACTTTTTTTTCGGTGAAAAAATAAGTTATTGATGAATTTGTGCTTGTGTTGATTTTCATTGTGAAGGATTTGAGTACTATTCGCCAAGTTCTTGATCATCAGGTTAGTTAATTAATGAAGATTATTGATTTCTTTGTTTTTTGTTTTTTTGTTTATTTTCCTGTTTTTGGCAATTCATTGATGATTTACCTTTGATTGCCGTGTTTATGTAATGTTGGTGGTGGTGTTTTAGGAGGTATTTGTGAAGCTAACACGTTTCATCTTATTATTTCTTAAATGATTAGAAATTGTATCTTTTGCACTTCAGGGTTTGTGAATAAATTGATTTTAGCTATAATTTGATTTATTCAGTTAAGAAAATTAGATTAATTGTAATTGGACTAGTTGACTGGCTATGGTTAGGTCTATACCCAAATCCCGGGTTTTACATGGTTGTGTAATGTAATTATCATTTAAATGTTAAATTGGGGAATTTATGTGATAAATAATATTATGTGCTTTTTTTATTATTTTGGGTTGTATTGAATTATATTTTCGTGTATATATGATTTTTACATTTTAGTATATTTATACATAGATTGAAGAATTTTTAATATTATTTAATTAATTAATAAATGACATCGCTATTATTGTCGTTGACTGTCGACGGTCAACAGTCAACGGTCAACAACCACCCTAGCTGGCCTTCATTCCTAGATCCGCCACTGACCAATCCCACGAAAAAAAAGGGAAAAGAAAATAAAGGAAAATAAAGACTATAAGAGCGCGTTTGATTGTAAGCATGGAAAGAAAACAAATTATAGGTAATCCAATTGCCTAGAACCTATTTGTATGGAAATTGTCAATTAAATGTATTTGATTTTAATTTTCAACCTGAAAAATATTATACTCGTCCTTTTTTTATTGATGGACGGATGAGAGAGAATGAATTCCATGGAAAATAAAATCCTACTCCCCTAAAGAAAATATTTTATTTGATTTTAAGAAAAATATGGCCACGTGACCAAAAGTAAAAAAATGTTTTCCATGAAAAAAATATTTAATCAAACAGTACAAAAGTAAGAATTCTGAATGGAAAAACATATTTTTCATCAAGAAAAATATTGACAATCAAATGCGAGATCGGGTAATGCTATAGTGAGTAACTACTATAGTCATCCTATGCTCACTATGGATGATTAAGTAATTGACTATATGTCACATAGAATGGCTACTATAGTCGCCATGTATTTCATGAAATATGTGGTAAAAAAGTGTATAAGAATTATGGGAACAATGAAATGTACGGTTAAAAATAATATTCGATAAGCTTTTTAACAAACAAAAATTTTAACAAGCACTTAATCTGATGCATGGCTAAGCTTAAAAAAATTGTTCGCAAATAAATAATCTTTTGAAAGTAATTCTAATTCTACTACACTTAACTATTCGAGGGATATATGATATATGAGAACAAAGTGCATATGAATATATATAACCCAATGAAATTTTTTTAAATATCATCATTACGTTTTCATAAATATCAAAAGTTGAGAAAGTTTGAACAAATCAGGTTATAATTCACCATTTGTTTAGTAGAAAATAATAAGGAATTTATATAAGGGATGGGAACAAAATTTTTATAAATGAATGAAGGCGATATTAAAACCAACTCTTTTGTCTAGCATATTACTACCATCTTTGATCATCTCATTCAAAAGTTTTAAACATGATAGAGATTGGTGTGAGAATATGGTTCACCTAACACCATCTATTCAGTTTTTGTGGACCATTGGATGAAGATCGACGGTCGAGATTTAATCTTGGGGGAGATGTTGTGACTTGATGAGAGGGAGCTCTCGGTTTTTCCCAGCAAAAAGGACTCTCGGTTTTTTAGCTTAAGGTGGTGGTTCTTTGCCGGATTTTTCCCCTCTCTCTTGGAAGGTGATTTGCAAGTCATGGAGGGCTGTTCTTGAGCCTGAAAAATCAGCCATAAGGAGGAGAAGAAGCTGCTGCAAGGAAGAAGCAAAATCTGTCCAGATTCGGCCAAAGACAGGTTGCATTTTTCCATCCCTTTTTCCATTGTTTTGCCTTAGAATTTCTTCTATTGTTTGATGTTTTGGTTGATTGAACTCCTAGGATCCCCAACACACTGGTATCAGAGCTAGGAGGAGTGAAATCTGTCCAAAAATCGATCAAAACCGGCAAGGAAATCGCCATTTCATTTTCTGACCAAATCTGAAAAATTCAAATTCCGGCCAAACTATTGACTTTCCGGCGAAATGGAACCTGGACCCATAACCAGCAGACTGAGGCGCTCCTTGTGGTGGGGCGCGTGACCCGCGGCGGCGCGTGGCGGACCTCCGACGAGCTTTTTTCGGGCAGTTTACTTATTTTGACGTCCTGAACACACTGATGTCGTTTGTTTTCTGTTTCAGGTTTTACAGAAAAAGTTGGACGATTTTGCCCCTGGCTTAACGTCTACCGCAATTAGGTTCAGAAACTTGGCGATATATTTATTGTTTTTCAACAACGACTCGAAAATCGTCATCCGAAACGATGTGGATATCCGGGTTTTGACCTGTTTTGTAATAGCCAAAACCAGACAATAGTTGAGCTTCCCAATTCAGGGAAGTTCACTATCCAGGCTATTGAATATGAAACTCAAAATCTATGGATTAATGATCCTGAATATTGCCTCCCAAAATGCCTTTTGAAATTAAATCTCTCCGGTTCGCCTTTTACTGGAGTTTTTTATCAAGATTTTACGTTGTTCAACTGCACGTTTGATTATCGAGGGTTGGATCCTATAGCTTGTCTTAGTGGGGAGAATTACACAGTTTTTGCTTTTGTGAATTCTGTTGATTGAATTCTTGTGATTAATTTGTAACCTGGAAGCATATTTACCTGCTTTATATACCTGTGTTTCGTGAACGGAATATTTTCACTGTTGTGCTTCATTTCTAAAAATTGTTTTTTAACTCGGCACTCAGTTATATATTGATCATCTAGAAAGAATTTTTTCAAAAACTTTTTTGTTGTGTCTACGAGTACAGGCCACTCTTTTATAGAATCTATAATGGGTTCGAGGGTCGAATTATCGCAATTCGATGGAAAGGGGGATTACTCGATATGGAAACAGAAAATGAGGGTCATTTTGGTCCAACAGAGAGTTGCTAAAGCTTTTGATAATCCCGCTACATTTTCTGATGAGTTAAAAGCTAAAACAACTGAAATTGAAGACATGAATGAAATTGCTTACAGTTATATAATTTTGCATCTATCTGACAACATTGTGAGACAAGTTGATAGTGCTAAAACTGCTAGAGCTTTGTGGATTGCTTTAGATGTCATGTTCTTAACTAAAACTTTACCTAACAAAATATACTTGTTGGAGAAATTGTTTAGTTTTAAGATGGACCCGGGGAAGGATGTCGAGGGAAATTTGAGTGACTTTAGCATAATTGTTAAGAGTCTAGCTCATAATGATAAAACATTTGATGATGAGGATTTAGCTGTCATATTGCTAAACTCTTTGCCCGAGTCTTATAGAGAAATGAAAAATGCCATAAAATATGTTAGGGACACTCTCACTCAAGTTATTGTTTCTGATGCTTTAAAATCAAGAGAACTTGAATTAAAAAGAGAGAACAGAATTCATTCTCGTGAAGAGAGTCTATTTGTTAGGGGAAGATCTAAAAAGAAGGAATTTAACTTCCATAACAAGAAGGGGAGAGGAAAATCTAAAATGAGATCCAAATCTAAAGATAAAAGCGGTAAGAAATGTTATCACTGTGGAAAGTTAGGACATTTCAAAAAAGACTGCTTTGACTGGAAAAGGAAACAAAAAGACCCGAACAATTCTGATGTTGATAATGCTGCTATTGCTTCTGAATTTAATAGTTTGCATGTCATGAATGTGTCTGAAGAAGAATTTGACAAAAATTGGATTCTTGACACAGGGTGCACTTTCCATATGTGCCCTGATAGGTCTTGGTTTTATAACTATAGGGAGACCGAACCTAGGAAGGTCTACATGGGAGACAATAATTCTCAAAATGTGATTGGAGTTGGTGACATAGCCATCAGGATGTATGATGGGGCCGTCACACAGCTCAGAAATGTTAGATATGTCCCAAATTTAAAGAGGAACCTCATTTCCTTAGGTTCTCTGGAAGATGAGGGATATACCTTCAAGTCTGGTAACAAAATTTCGAAAATTATGAGGGGCTCTCTTGTAGTTATGAAAGGGCCTAAGACGAATGGGCTGTACTATCTTGAGGATAGAACTGAAATACCATTTGATTCTAGCCTTCTTGCTGTAAGTAAAGACAAAACTGAACTTTGGCATAACAGAATGGGTCACATTGGGTTTAAAGGGCTAAAATCTTTAAGTAATCAGAAATTACTTGGAAAAGATGACATTGAAACTATGGAATTATGTGAAACTTGTGTTTTGGGTAAGTCTCATAAGGTGAGCTTTAAAGCTAGCTCTCATAGGACCAGCAGACCATTGGACTATGTCCATGCTGATCTATGGGGCCCGAAGAAGCACTCCACATTTGGTGGGAGCAAGTACTTCTTGTCCTTAGTGGATGATTACTCAAGAAAGGTTTGGATTTATCCTTTGAAGGCTAAGTTGGAAACTTTTGGAAAATTCAGGATTTGGTTAAAGTCTGTTGAGAATCAGTTAGACAAGAAACTTAAAACGTTAAGAACTGATAATGGGCTTGAATTCTGTAATAGCGAATTTGACAACTTCTGTAAGCAGAAAGGTATAACAAGACACAGAACTGTTAAATACACACCTGAACAAAATAGGGTCACTGAAAGAATGAACAGGACCATAATGAACAAAGTTAGGTGTATGTTGATTAGGTCTGGCCTTGCGAAAGGTTTTTGGGCTGAAGCTGCAAGTACTGCAGCTTATCTGATTAATAGGTCTCCGTCCAGCAGTATAGGGTTTAAGGCCCCACAGGAGTTGTGGACGGGAGAGCCTCCAAATCTAGAACACTTGAGGGTGTTTGGATGTGCTGCATATGCACACCAATCTGAAGGGAAACTTGAGCCGAGGGCTGTCAAGAGTGTGATGTTAGGGTATCCCGAGGGTGTGAAGGGTCATAGGTTATGGGTTTTAGGGGTCCAAGGCATTAAGATCATTAACAGCAGGAATGTAGTCTTTAATGAATCTGAGATGCCATGTCTAAAACAAAAAATCGAAGAAACTAACAAATCTGAAACTGAGAAGAGTATTCAGACTAAGGTGAAGCTGACTAGGCTAAATTCACCTACACCCGGGAATGACAAAAATGAACCTATACATCATGAAAATGAAAATGAAATTGAAATTGAACCTAAACCTGAACCTGAAGAGGTGACTGAACTTCAAGATAACATTGAACCAGTTGAAGTTGAACATTTTAATGATCAGCCACCTAATCAAGATTATCAGCTTACTAGGGATCAGGGGAGGAGGCAGATCAGGCCAAATCCTAGATATGAATCCCTAAACTTGACTGATTTTACCTTGGTTT